CCCACTTCGGTACCGGCCCATCGGGATTCGTCCCGATGGCCAGTCCGCCACTGCACCCAGCCCAGCCCACGTAAACTGTCAACGGGGGAGCCTCACTGCGGGGAAACGGTGGACGTAGTGTCCCGATCGGAGTGGGAATAATAATAATAATAATAATCAGTGCATTTTATCCATTAATTTCCCCAACATTGTGGTAAAAAAAAACACACGTTTAATCCATGTTGGTGTACTACTACAACCAGTGGTGTAGTGGGGATTTTCTTACTGGGTGGAAGGGAGACACTATGGACGCGCTCGTGAACTGTCAACGGGACATGATGCCGTTTAGACAATATAATAAAAAAGGGCGGTGCCGGCTGTCAGCGAACCGATCCGGCCTTTNAGTCCCGGGATGATTTTTAGTCCCAGTCCACGGCTGGCTACATGACCGTAGTTGTATCTGTTAGAAGTTTAGGAATTAGGTGCGTCAATATGGGCGATCATACGGTCATGTAGCCAGCCGTGGACTGGGACTAAAAATCATCCCGGGACTCTCGACCGGCCCACTTCGGTACCGCTAGTAAATTGTCAACGGGGGGAGTGTGCTAGTGACTTATCCGACCGGCCCACTTCGGTACCGGCCCATCGGGATTCGTCCCGATGNGAAGTTTAGGAATTAGGGGGGACTTGGGGGACCTCTGTGTCGCCTGTCAGGGCACCGCCCTTTTTTATTATATTGTCTAAACGGCATCATGTAAGTTGCGCTGACAGGCGACACAGAGGTCCCCCAAGTCCCCCCTAATTCCTAAACTTCTAACAGATACAACATAAACCGATCCTTCAGCCTCATATGAGCTCTCAGACACATTCAAAATTAAACTGTCATCGCTGTCTGAGCTTGCTGCTGTGTGCCCCATCGTGCGTTTACATGCAGATGCTGGGATCCTGAACGGTGCAGCTGGAGTGCTGTGCCCGCAATGACATCACACATAATTTGGCGGGACTTGAAGAATCCCCGAGAAGATCCAGAAAATTGTCAACATTGAAGGGCAGATTAATGGTTATCAAAGTGCAAATATCCAAAATCAGTTCAGTAACAGTTTTCAAGGGGACAATATTTACTCAAATTGATGGGTTTGGATGATGGGGGAAACTTGTGTCACAGGCTATTTAAGTTTCTCCATCGTTGTGTACAAACCGGATAAAATGCGGGCTTTTTGTTGTTGTTCAGGAGTTGATCCTGTCTCTTCCCCCGCCTCGACGTAAGCGTGACGTATGCGGTGCTTTTGCTCTGGCCGGACAATTTTTTGGTGCTTGAAACGAAACGAACCGGATTCCGGAGCTAAGAGGCTGCTCTGCTGCGGTGTGAACACGAAAACCCGGTGCTTTTCAAGCTCCAGTTCCGAACCGGCCCTGAAACACCGTTGGTGTGAATGAGGTATGAGTGCTGCATTATTTCTCTGTGGCGTTCGTCCTCTTTTTCTGCCTCGCCTTCTAGGCACTCCGGCACTCCCTTAGCACCTTTTCTTTTTTTGGGGGGGGGGGGGGGCTGCTGGGTGGTTCCAGCCTCAGACAGTGATGAGGGTGGTGAGGGGTCTGGATCATCAGCCACATTTGGGGGGGGGGAGAGGAGCAGGAAGCAGCCTCCGGATCAAAGAGGATTGTGGGGTTTGCCAAGGCTGAGGCAACAAGGACAGGAGGATTAATTGAAGGCCTTGCACCTATGGCCTCATCCATGGCCATGAAGAAGGGCCATGTTGCAGGGGTTTCTTCCCCCTGATCAGTCCCTGCTCCAGTCCTTGGCCTTTTAAGTTCCTATTGCAAACAAACGCATGTTAGAAATCTTTGTTCAGCTTTTTAAAAAACAAACAAATGTTTTACAATAAACCATTTACCTTGTATTTCTTTTTTAGGTTCTCCCATTTCTTGGAGTCTTGGGGTCGTCTCCTCCTCTAGGGGGGTCCGGGGGCATGCTCCCCCGTGAAGATTTTTTTTTTAAATATTGAAGTTAAAAGCATTCATCTGGTGCACTTTGAGGGCAACATTAACCCTACCTTAATAATACCTTAAAGCGGATAAAAGGCACTGGAGAACACTTATTCATTAACACCCTTTAATGAAGCAAACTAATGCCTTAACTCACTCAAATACAGTCGTTTACTTATTTCGGTGAAACGAATGTGCGTAGAGTTTTAAAGGATGCGGATAGTCTCACCTTGATTCTGGCACATTGCTTATCGTTTTATAGATCTATTCTCATCCACCATCTTTGTTTGTGACGTAAAGAGTGTAAGAGTCACGTTTCTGAATCGGACACTGAATGCATTGTCACAATGTCACAGCCAATCGGAGTCGGATTCAGAGGGTTGCCTGTCAGTTCCGTTGCTATGGTTCCGTTGTTATGTGTACTGAAACGAGAGCTGGTATAATTCCACGCACAAAAACAAAATAAAAATTGGAATACGTTATTTTAGTGTCTTAAAAGTAGACTGAGGTATGAAGGGTTAACGTTACATCTTAGGATAATTTTTTGTCATTTAGTTCTGTATACATACTAACATATAAGGGTATACTTAGTGTGGTTACTCCATGTTTACTAGCTATAACATTAACGTTACATCACTCTTTTTCACTTCTTACTCCGTCAGCCAGAGTGCAGATATC